GTCACGGAGGAGATAAAGGAGGAAATCGTTAACTTTCTTGAGCATAACAACAATGAAGACACAAGCTATCCAAACTTGTGGGGCCCTGCAAAAGCAGTCCTAAGAGGGAAATGCATTGCATTAGATGCCTACATCAGAAAAACAGAAAGAGAGCACATCGATAACCTAATGAATTATCTTCAATAAATGGACAAGTAAGAGCAATCCAATTGCAAACCTGGCGATAACCAAAATTAAATCAGCAATAAAAGAAACTAAAAACAAAACAATCATTCAGAAAATTGATGAAACAAAAACTTGGTTCTTTGAAAAGATAAATAAAATCAACGAAACATTGGCCAGATTAGCCAGAAATAGAAAAGTAACATTTTATTTAATTTTTTTTTTTGAGACAGAGCCTCAAGCTATTGCCCTGGGTATAGTGCTGTGGCGTCACAGCTCACAGCAACCTCCAACTCATAGGCTCAAGCGATTCTCTTGCCTCAGCCTCCTGAGTAACTGGGACTACAGGCACCCGCCACAACGCCTAGCTGTTTTTTTGGTTGTAGTTGTCATTGTTTAGCAGGTCTGGGCCAGAATCTAACCCACCAAGCTCTGGGGGTGCCTTAGTCTCTTGAGCTACAGGTGCCGAGCCAGAAAAGTAAAATCTTTAATAAGCTCAATAAGAAATGAAAAGGGGGAAATAACGATTGATACCACAGAGATATAAGAGATTATTTCTGACTACTATAAAAAATTCTTATGCCCAGAAATGTGGAGGAAATAGACCAATACCTGAAATCACACTATCTCTCTAGATCTTAAAACAGATCTTTTGAACAGACCAATATCAAGCACTGAGATTGAAGAAATAATAAAAAAGCTTCCAACATAAAAAGCCCTGGACTAGATGGCTTCACACCTTGTAGCTGTACTGCAGGACCGATCCCAAAACACTAAGGAGGAAGAAATCTTTCCCAACATGTTCTGTGAATCACACATCACCTTGATTTCAAAACCAGGAAAGGACCTAACTAAAAAGGAGAGCTACAGACCAATTTCACTAATGAATATTGCAAAAATGCCCAATAAAATCTTGGCTAATAGATTGCAGCTACTCACTGAAAAAATTATACATTACGATCAAGTAGACTTCATCCCAGGGGTACAAAGCTGGGTTAACATGCATAAATCCATAAATGTAATTCACCATATCAATAGAAGCAAACACAAAGACCATATGATCCTCTGCAATAAATGCAGAAAAAACATTTGATAAAATTCAGTATCCTTTTCTAACAAGAACACTTAAGAAAATAGGCATAGGTGGCACATTTCTTTCTTTCTTTTTTTTTTTTTTTTGAGACAGAGCCTCAAGCTGTCCCCCTGGG